ATCGAAATAGCAATTACGTCGCAACCATGTAAGCTCAAACCCATCGGCAAGCGCATTATGAATATCCATGTAGGAAGTATTCTTGCTAATAATATCCGTTCCATTTGGCGCCATGAAACTCTTTAGCTCCATACGGCAGGAAGTATCCAAATCAGAAGCATTTAAGCCACCATCGACCACATAATAATAATAATCAGACTGTCTTTTGATGTACTGGGACGAATAATTAGCAGAGTCTTTGGAGCGAAACATACGAGTAACATTGAAGCAAGGAGCAGTGTCTACATAAAGATGGGAATTCACTCGATTTTCACATCTCAAGAATATTATAGTCTTTGTAAGTTGGCGAAAGAAAGTCTGATGTTTCTTTTGCCGTATTTCTTGCCTGGTTTCGTAATCATCTTGATATGGATAGAAATCAAAATATTGTTTAGGGAGAGAGGAGCAATTATCCTTGTGAACATTGGCGTCAACAACTCGGATCGTGTTATTGTTGTAATTTATGGCCTTTACCAAGTATTTTACAGAAGAAAAGTATACTAGGGTGAGATTGTGCTCGCAAGAAAGCTCATACCTTGAGTGGCCACACTTTTCCGGATCGGTTTTAAGCCTGAAAGGCCTGCTTATATTAGGGATATTGCCACAAGAAGAAGCGGGACAAAGATGATCAGACTTTGCATTGCTAGCAGCAAGGGAAAAGATCAAAACAACAAGGGCTATCATGAACCGTGGACAGAGAAGTATGGGTGTTCCACTTTCCATTTGGTGGGACTTGGGAGACGTGAAAAAAGCTTTGCAAAACGACTGCAATCTCTTAGCTTCTCTAGATAGATATATAATTCTGAAGGAAACTTTTATTGATGTGGTTATTAGTGGAATTATCAAATACTGAAAAAATGAAACTTTTCTATCTTTTCTTTCATCATAATATTTGATAATTTGGCAGATTTTTGGAAAATTCAATCAATTTTTGTAGCAGTACTTACATATATCATTTCAACAACGCGTTGGAAGTCAAATTTTCATATTTAAAGACCCCGTCCATTTCGCTGATTCGAGTTTAGAATTCGAGTTTTGCTACAGTAAAA